CCCCCACCCCACCCCCGGCCCGGTCCCCGGCCGGCCGAGCGCCCACCGCCCCGCGGGGTCAGGACGCGGATTAGGGCGCTAATCGCCGCTGGTCCCAGCAAGTGCCCGCGGCGGCCCGGCCCGGCTGCTTGTGGTTAAGCAAAAAAGAAAAAAAGAGGTGGGAGAAAGGAAAGAGCCCCGCCTGAGAGTGCTGTAAATCGGGTTAATCAGCTCGTTTATGGGGTCTGGAGCCTGCCTGCCCGGGGTCTCCGCGCTTCCCCCAACCTACAGCCGCCATCAATTCACCCCAGAAGGCCGGGGTTTTCCTAGATGCCCTGACCACGGTGGGGCTCAGCACCTACAGCCGAAGGCGCTGCTCTTGCTCCTTGTCACTGGCAATAGCAGCTGAGCGCCTCGGATTCTTCTGGCGGTTTGAAAAAGAAGCTGTGATTTCACTATTGAAGAAAAAAATAGAAACGGGAACTTTATGCCAGCACAACGTGGTCGTGCCGTAGTCCTTGCTCGTCCACGCTTTCTAGGAGGAGAGGACTTTGCATCCCTTCCCCCCACACGCACACACGCTGCCACCCACTCTCCCACCCCCTGCAGCCCCTTCCCCAGCCGCCCATGACCGCATCTCCCTCCCCAAGTCTAGTTGCCTAGTGCCTCTTGGGAGAGGGGTGGACCACGGCTTCCTGTCTTCCTTCTCTGGCTTTTGTCTTTTCAGATTTGCAAAGAATAGACATCCCAGGGATTCCAAGTGAGGGTTGGAAGATGACAGGGGATTCTTGGGAGGGGAAGGGAATGGGACATGGGATTCAGGCAGCCAGAAATTTTCTTGACAAAAATGGCAAACTCAATAGTCTAAACTGAGTGGTCACAGACTGTGCAGGTAAAACTTTAGGAAAATGGTGCCTTACGTCAGCTAGTTTTTGGATTTAAGATAGGTGGATTAAAACCCTGTAGCAAGGCAAGCGTATGTCAAGTTCTTTTTTGATTCTATTTCATGGGACTTGTGTTGGTTTTCGTATGAAATTGGGAGTTTGGTAAATTCATTTGATTTTCCATAATGTTCTGTAGGTTTAAACTTTATATTTATCTTGCTATTAGGTGTCTAATTCTTAGGCACCAATTGAACAAGCTTTTTGAAGGTCCCTAAGTGTTACTCCCCGGAGGCAGCGTGTAGCAAACTGTTTCACTCCTACTGGAGTGGGTGAGCAAATATTTGTTGAACAGAGGCCTTAATCTGCTGGGCCTTCCTCCCGCAGACTTCACCCCCTGCAGCAAAGTCTGGAAGGTCAGGCCCTTGGCAGGCCCAGGAGATTTAAGGGGATTGGGTGGATGGATGAAGCCTGTGCCAGAAAAAAAAACAAGAATTTTGTCTTTCCACCTCCTTGGAACATAACTTAAAATGCCCAGGGGTCCAAGCCCAAGGTCTGGAGGGCTTGACAAGCCAATCAGAGTCGTCTAATAGCACATCTGAGTGCTCACCGATTCCAGAGGCATGTAGCGTATTGTCCAGTAGCTACAAAGTGTAACTGGAGCTTGGGGGTTCACAAGGAGAATAAATAAAGACCAATTTTTCAGTTAAAAAAAAAAGCAAATCTGAAAAGATCCTTAGATTCTAACTTTTAAAATGTAGTTTAAAAATAAATCCTAGAAATACTATCAGTGAAGAAAGCCCAGGAGTCTGTGGATCTGCCAAGTTCTCATTGTCCTTGCTGGAGAGCCCTCTAGGTTGGGAAGACGGTAAACACCAACAGTGCTGTAGGAGTCCAGAGTTTCTCTTTTAATGAGCTTGGCCAGACTCCATGCTAATTAATCTAGAGAGAGTTTAGAGAGCAGAGTGTTGGATTGAAACAATTGTTCTGTTGTGGTTTTTATTTTGATAAGCGAAGACTGTATCTCTGAAATCCTCTAAGCCTGTTGCTGAACCCATTACTGCAGTTTATTTGGTTTTTTAGCAGATGTTGTTTTTCACCTTTTTGGTGGAAAGGGTTATCTCACTCATTAGAACCTTGCTATTGTGCTTTGTTTCAAGGGCCTGCTGACTTGGGGAATGCTGAGGGACGCTCACTGGCTAAGGCCAGCAGCCTAGGGAGGCTGGCTCAGTCTCCAACACTTTGATAGAGCCTTTAAACGCTGTGGCATTTAAAAAATACAGGAACCTCCCAATACTAAAATCTCAATTATCTGAATTTGAATTTGTGGTATCTTGTTTAAAATTTGGATTATGACCTTTACTTTCTTTAACAAAATATATTTTCCAGAAACTTTCTATAGTTAATATAGTTGGGCACAGCCCGGCCGAACTGGCCAAGATTCATTGCTTATTGGTTCTCTCTATAGCTTACCTAGTAAGCTTGTTTCTTCTGTACGAAAATGAAAAAATTTAGATACTGTTATGAAGAGACACCAAGATATATTTCAAAGAGGAAAAAAAGAGAAAGCAGCTGTATGTATAGGAAGAACAGTTGGAAAAATAGAAACCGAACTGTTGCTGTGGGCTATCTCGGCACAGTGGCGCTATTGAGAACTTTTACTTTTTACTTAAACACTGAGTTTTTCAGTGTTTACTTCTAGAATAACTTCATATGACTTTTGTAATTAGAAAATAAATAAAAATGTAAGAAGTATTTGAAATAATTTAAACTTTAACATTTTTATAACACTTTGGCTCTTTTGAAAGATCTTTAAAAACAAAACTAGTATAGGTTTAATAGACTATTTTAGGGAATCTTGACATGTGGAGTTTGACATATGTGATGATAGTGGAATTAAATTCTAACCTATTATAAGTTTTCTAGGTATTTTTACAAATAGCCAAAAATTCCAGAAATTTAAAAAACCTTACCCAATTTCAATTCTTTTCTTAATGACTGCTAATCTTTCAGAAAGATTAATGAGGTACTTAGGTCTCATAAAAATGGGATGAAGTCGCCAAGGCAATAGTTTTGTGACAGAATTTAGAGGTGAAAGAGAAGACAGGAGTGTGTGTGTGTGTGCACACACAAGTTGTGAGGAAAAAGACAAAAAAGAGAAGTTACAAGAGATAATATTTATGAAAAAATAAAGTACATAATATTTGATACTTTATTTCCTTCTCTTTCTCTCTCTTTTTGAATCAGTGTCTTAACACTAACCCAACCCAGCAAGATTAGCCTTCCAGGATCCTTTTGATCTTCCACCCAAGTTTTCCATCTCATGTTTTTTTGGTTACCTTAAAGAAACTTAACTCAGTGATGGTTGCCCTACTGAAATTATTACTTCACAGATTAGGTATGCTTTTTGTATCTTAGGAGATTTTAACAACTTGAGGGCCCTGGTGGAGCTGGTCATCGTGCTGTGTGGTATAGTAACAACAGTGTGTGAGAACTTACCGTCCCAGGACTTAAACTGCGACTGTTGAGTTCTTTATGTAATTATTAAGACTGAAAAGGGACATGGCAGTCCTCTTGCTCATAATAAAATACATAGTTCTCCCATTAGGAAAAAAAAGCTGTGGAAAACATTAAGAATCCATGTATCAGTTAGCAACATGCTCCATTCTGGTTTGTTGTATGTCTTGGCTATTTACCTCTTGTTTAAAGAAAGTGCTTTGTTATATATTAATCATAACATTAGACAAAAAGTTTTCAGTTGAAGAAATATTTACAATGAACTGCCAACAATTTGAGGGACTAATTACATCTTAAGTATGGAATGTCAGTGAAGACAGCTCAGAAGTTTTAGGTTTTCTAGAGGAGTGACAATGTCTAATCAAGACCTTTAGAATGCTATTTGTAATCTGGTATTAGATTTTATCAGCAGAACATATAATGTTAGCCTTACTGGAAACAGGTGAAGAATCTGTAGCAGGTCAGACACATGTACCATATTCTGATGTGTGTATGTATGTGTGTGTGTGTGTGTGTGTGTGTGTGTGTATATATATATATATATATATATATAAACTTATATAATTTACTATTCATTTATTCTTTTCTTCAGTGTTTCTTTTATTCTCATTGAGTCTTCCACATATGTAATATATTTTCAAAGATACATTTTCCTAATCCTACCTAAGCAACTCTTTTAAAATTTTTTTCCTGATGATGAAATAATACTGTTACAGTATATAAAAGTGCCAATATTTGACCATTTTTTAACTGCAAGATGACAGCTTCATAGGGTTCCATCTAATCTATTTCATGATGAGACGTCATAAAATAAAGTATAAATAAGGACTTTTTTTTAAAACCCAGAATCCAATACCACTGTTGATATTTTCGTATGTTTCCTTTCAGTGTTTTTCCCCCTGTATGCATATGTATTTAAATGAAATTGGTATTACACTGAATCTAGGGTTTTGTATCCTGTCTTTATTATTTAACACAATACCATGAGCATTTC